GAGGGAGGGTGGTTTGGGGAGAAGAAAAAGTTACTTGAACTTTATAGGTCACAAAAATGCCCAACTAAAGTGGACCATCCTGAATACTTTCCAGTTACACCCTAGGAACCATCAGAACTGGTGTTTAGTGATCGAGCTGCTAAGTAATTTTACGGACTGTGCTGGGATTTACAGACCCCATGCTAAGGCTAAAGGAGTTGTGGAGCAGTATTGGGCCAAGAAGGCCTCCACAGCTGCAGAGCATGCTCCAAATGGAGGTCCTGCTTAAAAGGGGACACTGCCAGTCAAGTCAGGGGAGAGTGAAGGAAAGACTGGATGCAGGAAAGCAGCCAAGCTGTAGCTTCTGGAACACAGGGATCTACAGGAGAAGGGTCTGGACTGTGGGTATGACCTGACTGGGAGACCAAGGGCCTGCCTGACCCCATTTTCTCCCTAATAAGGGGGAGCAACTGAACTCTGAAAAGTGAGCTGAGAAGCCCCAACTAATTGTCTGAATTATTGAGACTGTGAACAACCATCTGCTAAGAGGGCAGCTCAGTGCTCGGAACATGCCCCAAACTGAAGAGAGAACAGGAGAGGCAGGAAGTGGCCCAGGGCAGGTTGGTCTATTGTACCAGCTGGAGGGGACTGAGGCACTCCTCACCCCTTCCCTGATGGGACCTGGTGAAGAGGGTGGGCCTGGGTTCCCATTCCCTTCTGCCCCCTCCTCTGGATGATTGGGGAACCCAGGGAGCACTGGGAGATGGTGAACTGTAACTTAGCCACCAGGCCCTGAAAATGCCCATCAAATCCATCCCAAGGCTCTGGGAGACTGCTGAGCTCCGGTCTGTTCACTAGCCATGCTGGACCCAAGGGAAGCCTGCTACACAGACGCACATTTATCTAGCCCAAGACGATGATCCACTCCATACAACGGGCTTCATCGTTACAAGATGTTCCAGGACTGAGGCTGTATTGTGCTCCCTTAAATTTGGTTTGTAGATTCAAACGCAAATCAGAATATCTTTACTCCACTCTTCCCCTTGATTTCTTTCCAAACCTAATCCACAACTTCAAGAGCATTCACAATGCCTCACTTGTTTGTATGATGTAAAGCAGCAAAACATTACTCACAAATAGAAATCTACAGTCAGTGTCCCTGGAATAACCCTTTTTCTAAACTCTGAACTGAATTCGGGGACAACACAAATATTCTATAACCAATCAGACATACAGTAATTTGCCAAACTCTAACTTTCATGGCCAACCCTAAAAACAGCACACAACAGATGGCCATAATAAGGCTTCTATTTTTCTATCACCTTTTGAGTCTTCACTAACACTAACAAATGAAGCCTCCCAGCCCTCCTGGGAGATAAATACAGTAAGTATTGTTACATTCTGGATCAAAATCTTGGCTCATGATTGGCCAGAAAGTCATGTGATGAGTACTCAGCAGGATGGAATGGTAAGCCAATTATAGCACATGCAGATGAGTGCATCCTGAATAACTTGATGTGCTTTTATTGAAAACATTTATTATTTACATGTATTCTTTACAGTTCCATAGATGGTAATGGCACATCAAAACAAACGAAGGATGGATTCCCTGCCCACAGGCGCTTACAAACCTAGGGCATATCAAGGGATCTGATTCTCTCTTACATTAGTTTGGCAGATTATTACACTTACATTGTTGGCTAACTCAACTGGCTTCAGTGAAACTACTCTTGATTTATAATGGCGCAAGTGAGAGGAAAATCAGCCCCAAGGAAAACAGGAAAAGTGAACAACTTTGTGCTAGACAGTCCCTTTGGGCACAGCCCTAAGCCAGGGGTGGTATGTAAGCTCCATCATCTCTGCAACCCCATGAGACATCATGTCTCAGAGACACCCCTCTGATTTACAATTCACTCCCTGCTTCCCGCTTGCCGAGGGGTGCGATGGGGAAGGGACAGGAGCCAGGTAAGGTCAGATAAGGGCTCATAACGTGATGCTGGCCTATACCAGCAGCAATGCAACCATTTATGAACCCCCTTGTGCTTGCTCAGCTCTGCTGTGGAGTGAGGCCTTAGATCCAGCTATTCCCTGCTTCTATCTGACCACTGCTCCAGGCAGGAGAGCGGTGAATTAAACAGGCTGACAGCACCCACTTACTTCTGTGCACCTGGATTCAATGTCCGGGTATCCTACATAGGGCATAAGGGAGGCCTTACTCCCACAGGTGGGCATGGAGTCCAAGTCCCATTCTAGCCCACAGGGGAAGGGATAACCAGACTAAGGCTGGGATAATAAGATTGCACATATGGGTGGATAGCGTATGTTACAAAAATGTGTATTCACCTCTGATGAGCTAATCTTTGCTTGTTGATAGACTCATCAGAGGAGAATAATTACTTTTCTCTGGACCTTTAAAGTTGCTTTCATTCCTAGAGCTGGCTGGGAAATAGCTTTCCCATCCCAGGAATATGTTTGAGATTTCAATTCCCGCCGCCCCCCCCCCCCCGCCCAAATTGGGATGAAGAATCAAATGCAAATTTTCACACACTGGCAATCACCCCCCTGAAAAAACCCACACACCAAGATTTGGATCACTCAAAATGTTTCATTTTGATGACTTCTAAGTGTTTCGTTTTGATTTTGAGCTTAATTTTTACAGATTTTTTTTATTATAATTTACTTAAATTTCTAAATGAAAAATCGTTTTCAACTGAAAAAACAGAATTGTTCTTTGACAATTTGGAAAGGTTTTTCTTCAAAAAAAATTGGAGAATGAGAAATTTGTCAAAACTGACCCTGCTTTGCAAACAGTTTCAGTTTTTCAGCAAAACAAGTTTTGTCAAAAATACCCTGACCAACTCTACTCCTTCCCCTACACAGCTCTGTGAGTTTTTACAGCCCTTCTTTAAATAAACTGCAGTCTGGTGTAGAATTTTATTCCCAGTTTACCAGATAATTTTTAGAACATATTGGAAGGTAGGATTTAGATGACCACTGTATTTTATCAGAGCAATCACTTCTTTTCAGCCTGTTGAAGTGTCCTCACAGCTGGGTGGTAGCAATGCTTACTAGTCACTTTCATTCTCTGCATGTTTTGTCTGCTTGTCCAGCGAAGGGACAGCTATAAATCCAGTATCACCAACTCACAGTTTTATCGCCAGTCTTGTGATATTTTTTGTTTTTCTTAAAACAAAGACCCAGCTCCTGGAATCATGCAGTCATGTCAGAATCTCAGCATTCGCTTTTTTTAAAAGTAAGGTTCCAGCCCTCCTGGTTGTGGAGAAAAGCTTGAGAATGCTCAGAACTTAGAAGGAAATTAACGCAGGCAGTAGTAGATTTTAGTCCCTGATTCAATCCGCAGTGTGTTGACCAAGAAGGCAGCCACCACAGATGCAATTAAATACACAACACCTGTGGTGATGTCCTGGAGAGAGGACAGCAGACTGTCAGGAGCTACTTACAGGAAGGCGGTGAGGAGGCCTTTTTGGAGAAGTAAAATGATTGTCCTCTGCTCAGTGCTTAATTTTTGCCAGGGCTGACCCCCAGCACCTCAAGACTTGGCAGTTCATAGCCCCAGCACCCCTGGGCTTCCCACATCAGTTATGAAAGTAAAAAAATTGCTCGAGCCCCAGCACCTCTTTCATTACAAATTAAGCCTGGCCTTTGCCCCACTCGTCTCCATTTTCTAAGGCCTCAGCTAGGGATGGAGGTTGTGGTGTATTTTGGGATAGGAACTTTGGTGTGGAGGGCAGGCAGCTATCTGATATGTGTGAGTAGGGTGCAATCGTGGGTGGGATAGAGGAGGATGGTGCTGGTGATGAGAGCGGTGTGCAAACTCCCTGCACCCTGCTTCGGAGAGGGCCAAGTTTCATGTCTTTGATTTGCCCCATGCTGCCCATCCTAGTAGGGAGACATGTCCTCCCCTGGCCGGGAATTTCTCCCCAGAACAAAGGGCTTGGGGGTCTTTGATTTAGGGCCATCTGTACCTAACAATTCAATTCAGCGAGACTAATTTGGCATGATGAGCTATACAACTGTTGCCAAACTGTAAAAAAAATATAGACGTCTTGGGTATCTATCAGAGGTTGGCATGATATTCCTACATGTCCCCCTAAAACCAGGTTACATGCTGTGTTTGGGGGCTGATCCCCTGAATCCATTTGTCATTCCTGATCCAGTGGCAGGTTGCTACATGGTGTGATGCTATCTCTAACAGATAAAAGGACCCAGGGTTAACACACTATGCAATAAAAGACAATGCGGGGGGAAAGGAGGGGAAAGATCCATTCATTAAAGTGAGGGAAGAGGAAATATTTTTCCCTAAAGCACAATGAAAACAGACCTTTGCACACTCCGTACAACTCTGCTTTTCCTTTGAACAAGTGCCTTGTTGTGCCGCACATTGGCTTTACCATCTTACGACAAGGATCTGTTTGCTTCCTCCTACTCACTGAGGACTCGATGTGATGTGTTGGTGGCCTTCAATTCCTATTGAAAGCAATGGGATTTGAGGCACTCAGTACCTTGCAGGATTGGGCTCTGGGGGAAATTCAACCCCAGTGCATAGGGCCAGCAACACTCAGAATAGTTTTTGAGTGATGCATAGGCCTTGGGCTGACCTTCTGCACAGGGCCTGGGAGAAATCCAACACAGAGCTTTATTGTGCCTTTTAAGGTACCACATGCCACTGCTTCTTTGCCAGCCTATTGGTGGTAAGTCCTGGGTTGCCTGCCATGTGTGGGTGGCCATGCATCCACTCCAGGAGAGAGAGGCTGACTGGAAAGGAGGAGAATAGCAGATTCCCATCCATCACATGACATGGGAAAGCAGGTGGAACGGATATGAGAAGCTACCTTTCAATTGTGTTTTAATGAAAAAGTTGTTTGTTCTTCCATATACTTTGATGAACGTCTGTTTTCCCTCCAAAGCCAACGTTTGTCTTTCATTATGCCCAACATATGCTCTCTTAGGCTGCACCGTTTTTTCTACTTTAGATAAATAAACAGGAAAATTTAATTTACCTTGCAGAAGACTCTCCAGCATGCTCTCTTTCAAGTCTGGCACAACTCCCAAATGGAACTCCTCCTGGAAACCTCTTGGGAAATGTGATGCTTGTCTGCAGACCCAGCTCCTAAGCTCAGATGGAAGCATTTCAAAAACAATAGTCTCTACGCTCTTCAGGGTAGCTGTAGCTAACTCAATAGGCATTTAGAGGGAGTGGTATAGGTCCAACACACAGGGAGGTTGAGAACTGTGTCTTTATAATGAAAAAGAGATACTTTCCAGGCAAAGCATGGGATAAAAGCATTAAAATTTGCCACTCCCAGCTGTTGACAAATAATGTCTTAGTCTTTGTTTTGCCATACTAGCGGGACATGGAATGGATTGCAATTTATTACAATAAAATCTACTACTGATTAGAGCTAGTATGTGGAGCTAATTCCCTATTATTCCCACTTCAGATACAAGCTTGTGCCTTTTTGCAGTGTTTCTCACTAGTATCCACAGTCCTGTTACAGAAATGATGCATAAAAGTTAAATGAGAATGTCTGTATTTCCAGTGAAACAGGACTATGGGTCTAAGATTTAAATATGGGCATCTTAATAAGACAACCAAATCCAGCATCAAATCAGCTCTAAGACAGGTAAAACATGTATTCAGGGTCTAGAGCATCTGACAAAGGGATCTGAACATTCTGTCAAGGTACCTCATTTGAAAACTGTCCTCGTTTGATTTTGATTGTGACTACAGATGGTTGAATTATCCATCACAAATAATATTCCTTTTTTTCTATTTTTGAAGTGTTCCCAAATCTGGTTTCTGAAAATGTTTTTGTTATTCATAGACATTCCCAAAGAGAAATGTTCAGCACATCAGTTATTCATGAACTGAGCACTTTGATTATATGCTATGAGACTGATGCAACACCCACTGAAGTCAGTGTTAAACCTCTGGTTGACTTGGATGGGCATTGGAACAGATTCTAGTCCTGGTATGTGATTAGTCACTTAAGTCACAAGGTATTCTTTCTACACTCTAACTGGCTGGTTGAACTTTTCCAGCAGGTGCATAACAAATGGCAAATGATGGATATCGTCTTTCTAGTACGCATTTGTCAAGGATGGTCTAGGTATACTTCCTCCTGCTTCAGTGGGGGAGGAGGGTAGACTAGATGACTTCTTGATGACCCTTCCAGCCCTACTTTCCTACAATTCTATGAGCTTAACTTCCAGTATGTGCGTAAGTCCCACTGAAGTCAATAGTCCAGAAGCACACGCTTAAAATTAAATATGCACTTAAGCGTTTTCCAGAACAGGGATAATTAAGCATATACTTAACTCTTATCCTGAATGGGACTAATGTCAGTCCATAAGGAGCAATTTCCTGTTTAGTCAGGAACATATATAATTATTCAACCAGCTCTTGGTTGCTCTTTGAATTGTCCTTGTGAAATGTCATGATGACATCTATAGAAGTCACAGAGCAGACCCGCTCCTCAGGATGATAGCACCTCACACAGACGTACTGGCCCTTGAGCTGCTAAATTGTGGACCTCCCTCCAGGGCTACTGTAGTCCAAAGAAAATGTTTATTTGATTATGAATTGAAATTGTGTTCCCGAACCATGCCCTTGAGACTTTTAAATGGAAGTGTTTGAATTCTGAGCTACCACTGCTCAACAGCCCCACCCACTAGCAACCTGCTCCACTGCAAATGGTAAAAGGGGAAGCCAGAGTAGCTCTTATTTCTCCTCTGCCTACCTCCTTGGTGGGTTGTGGGAGCCCGGGAGAGCAGCATAGAAGACCAAGTGGCTCTGCCTGAGTCTAGCTAAAGAACTGATTTGTCCAGCTAAAGTACCTGACTTGTGCGAATTAATATGTTCACCTCCTGAGCCCACTTGGTTAAAGGATGGCTTCACTAGTCATTCAAATCTTACATTTTTCCTCCCATACAAATATCATTGTGATTCTAACCTAGCTAGAATCAAACAAAACATGAAAGATGTTAGTCGTGTTGCTTAATGTGCTCCTGGAAGGCACTCAGCTTCTCCAGAGATTAGTGTGATAGAAGACTCTTTATAGAATAGAATAGTAGAGAAGCTTGGGCCAAAGTTAGAGAAAACAAATGATGTGAGATGCATACTGGCCTTGCTGCTGATCTCCTTCCCAATAATGGTTTTATCAAGTATGTGAAAGTGTTAAACTACTTCTGCCTTAGACAGTGTTTGGCTTCTTAACTGGATTATCGTACAAAGAATGTTACAATGAGGTTCTTAGGTCTGTCAGGTCAGCTTGGTAAATGATAGTGTCTCTTGAAGCTATAATGGATGAGAAAATCCCTGATAAGATTTGACACTCGTACTATACAAGCTGTCACTGTAGACATTTCACTTTTTTCTTGATGTTTTTAAGGCCATAAATACTGGTCCCTAATGTTAAGTATGTGAACCTTACATTAATCATCCTGCCAGTGGGAGCAGAGAGCTTTGCTCATAAACTGAAATGGAGCAGGGTTAATCTATCAGCGTTTTGTAATGAGGATTATTATAACAAAGTATTTAGGTTGATTTACTGACGTGCTGCTCATATCTGCTAATGATCACGCATCACTAAGAACAAAGGGTCATCATCAGGAGTTTGAAATTCACAGAAGTTTCTAATGTACTTACCAAGCCTTTACACAGAGCAACCCCCTTGGTTTTTTTTACTGCTGTTAATGTCTGAAACTCACAGAAAGTCCTTTCCATATCTGTTAAATTCTTTAAGATTAGTGGGCCTGTTCCTCAGCTGATGTAAATCATTATGGCTCCACTGATGTCAAGTGAAGCTATGCTATCTTAGTTCAGCTGGGGAGCTGGCCTCTGTAATGTTTTCAAATGATTCTGTTTAATACTGTGAAATCGTTCTACAGATGGTAGAAAAGATAAGATGCCTTGTTAGGCTGAGTTACGCAGAAGTAGACGGAATTCTTGTTTTTAACAAACAAAATGAACTTGCCTCGACAATATTATTTATCTGTAGTGCAGTAGCACCTAAGAGCCCTAGTCATGGGCCAGGACCCCAATGTGCTAGGTGCTGTACAAACACAGAACAAAGACAGGCCCCTGCCCCAAAGAGCTCACAATTTAAATATCAGCAATTACTTAAACAGAGTGGCAATTAGTGTCTTACACAGAAATAGCCCAACTTGAGCTTAGGTTAAGAGCTCATTTGCACAAAGCAGTTTTGCATGGGTGCTGCTACCCCAGTGAAGCCCCCAGAAGAGATGCTCTGCACCCGGATAGGGCCCATTTTACACTAGAGCAGCCCATCTAGAATGATGCCTGAGCTACACTTAACAATTAGATGGACCTGGCTATGCTGCTCAGGGATGTAAAGATTTTTGTGCCCTGAGTGCCGTGGTTAGGCCAAACTAACTCCCAGTGTAGCTGCAGCTAGGTCAACAGCTGACCTAACTGCTGCATCTCGGAGAGATGGATTAGCTACATTGACTGAAAAGAACATTCCATTGATGCCGGAAGCCTGTATGCTACTGCAGTCCAGCCACATTCCAGAGCTGTGCCACTGTAGCACTTGTAGTGTAGACAAAACATACACTGAGAGTTCGCACTGGGGTAGCTAACCTGGTGCAAAATGCCCAAGTGTAGACAGACCGTTAGGCAGAAAGCAATGGGAAATCTCTGAATAGCTCAAAGCCCAAATGATAAAATAACACCACTTTGCACTTCTATAGCACCATTCTTACCCAAGGAGCTGAGTGCTTTACCAGCGCTAATAAATTCATCCTCAAAACACCCATGGGAGAATGAGAAGTATTTTTAGCCCGACTTAGAGAGGGGGAAACTGAAGCATGTGCTGATTAAGGTCTGAGTTTTCACAACTGTCCACTATGAGTACCTCTGTTTCTGGCTGGCCAAACTGAGACACGTGGGGCCTGATTTCCAGGAGTGCTGCTGGCCAACACAACTCTGATTTCAGTTGACTAGCACTGTTAAAAAGCCATTGATGCTGTGACGTTGTGCAGTCTATATGGTTTTATAAAAACTTGATAATAAGTCAATATAATGTAACTGAGATAGTTTTAGAGAAAATACGGTAATAAGTGAATATAATGTAACTGAGATA